TCTTCTTCTTCTTCTTTTTATGCCGTGAATAATACCAAGTTCTGACGGTCGCTAATATTTCATTTATATTCTGTAGAACGGTTTAATAAAATCCCAATTCCATAGGGACTTTTGATAAGACTGTAGAGTTTATTTTTCAAAAATATCCTAAGTATGTCGTTTTGTCAAATTTTAAGTTCGGGAGCTACAACGCGTGTATTCATGTCTGTATTTTGTTTTCGTCAACGTAAATAACAATTTCCAAAGTAGCACTATAGTAGTAGGCCTCATTTTCCTTGTTCTTCTTCTTCTAATATTTTATAAGTTCTTCTCACTCGAACGAGGTCAATGTCATATGAAATATATACATTGTATTTCACGTCTCGGATTAATGATCCTCTGATTACGATCTTTTGTTTTTAGTCAGATTAAAACTGCTCATCGTCACGAGGGCTTTGATATTGTAATGACCAGTGTCTATGCCTACAATTTAATCCCATGATCACACTGATATAACTTGTATTTTGTATGTTTCCTTGGAAATAATCCGATATTTGATTATATTTTGTATAAAACCTCGGCATCTGATTATTTTGTGATATGTTAACTTTTCTATGTCTTTACTGTTTTGCTTCGTCAGCATGGCGAGTTGATTTGTCCCGATTTGCAATACGCTAAATTTTGCGATTTGTCAAAAAGAATTACCAGTTAAAAAAAACAGAGATATGAAATCTGCTAGCATGTTGAAGTATAAAGAATAACAAAAATCCCTATGTCTAACCAGATTAACTGTTCCTGTAAGACAGATTACATTCACAAACATATACTATTCACTGAAAGTATCAAATTGATCATTTTGTACCATCATAAAAAGCCAATTTAGTAATTAAATGAACGTTGTTCAAAAATAAAATGAACGAACGGATAACAATTATCAATAGAATGTTGATTCATTATTCAAAAGGGATTGATCTTTTCGATGTAATAGCATTCATTGCAAAATATCCAACGAAATAGCATCTACTCTTCTACATGCCATGTATCTAAAAATGTGTCAAAAATTAAAGTTTTATGAGATAATCACTTCCCCTTCCTCCAAGTCTGGAACAATGATTTTCACTCGGTCCTGCTTCTTATTTTGGGGAAGACCCATCCTGCCGTTAGTCATAATTATTACAGAAGGATTCAAACTAACTCGTAGGAAATGTCTCTTAACGAAATAATGAAGTTTTACTAATGACACTAAAGAGGTTCATTCTCAGGACAATAGGCCATCTTTAATGACATTAAATGACATAGGATAGTGAGTCTCTCATGTAATGGTGTGACTTGTAGCATGACCAGTTTCGTAGTCATACTTTGATGTATTTTGATGAAGAGGGCAGTATTGACTATGATCATGATAATATTATATATATATATATATATATATATATATATATATATATATAGGTAGAAAAACAGAGACCTTCAAAATGAAATGATAATACAATGCATAAGTATAACGGATTCCTATCATTTTTATAGGTTTTTAAATTGCTTTCAAAATATCACTGCTTTCATTTGCTAGGTAATTAATCAATGAAAAAATAGATCACTACTTCAAAGGGCACTTCAAGTGCATATGTTATCACTTACATATTGCAGATACACACGAACTTTTTATTTTTTCTTGCCCTTCAGGAATTTTAGACAAATACTGTCTTGTACCCCCTCCCCAGTAAAAATAGATAAATGAATGAAATGTCGTATTCGCCACACACACAGAATGCCTGTTTGTGGTCTTGTCTGATTTTTCAACTTAGGTTTTTTGTTGTTGTTTGCACTCTCTGTTAGCTATAAATTCTTCCTACAACTTTTAGTTGACGGTTGAAGGAAGATTCAGCAGGGGTGTTCTCCCGTTTTTAATGATTCACGCAAAGGAATGACAATGCTAGACAACTCAGCATCTATATTGAAGCTAATAGAACGAAGGACACTGCTGCTACTGCTGACTACATAATTATATGGCTATTAATTACCGTAGCTTGTTAAAGGAAATGTATCATTGATTACCTTAATTGTTGGACAAATTACCTCTCGTCTTAAAACAGCATGAGTAACGCTTCGGGTGGAGATTCCTAGCCATGAATAACACAAGGTGGGGTTTTGAAGTGTATGGTATCATAGGGTGGGGGGAGGTCAAAAAGCGTAATAAAATATGAATTCTGAAAGGGCTGTCCGAAAAGAAGGATTAGTTGCTAGGGAAATGCAGGTTAAATAGAACAGGAGGGAGTGAGATATCCCTTTTCAGTTGTCGCCATTATTGCCACTGTCATTTACGGGAACGAACTTTAGTTGTATACATCGGCTTGATATTTGATCTATGACTTTATAGGTGCATCCATACAATCTAGAAGAGGAAATTCACATACTCCCTTACTGTACAAAAACAGTAACTTATTTCTGTTATACTTGCTCGTTATTAACACAATACACGTATTCTGATTATCAAAAAAAACATTGACATAGTGGTAGGAGGTAAGAGACTAAAAAACCATCAAGATTCATTAACCTCTTTTAATTTAATTTGTTTATACAAATCTTAGCTTGCTTTCTAAAAATTGCCCCCCCCCCCCCTATCAAGAATATTAATGTTGACGAATCGATTATCAAGCAAACTTTGTTGGGATACTAGGCCCGCAGAATCGGGAGGCTGTTTTTAAGTTTGTTTTTATTATTTCCTAAACATTATTAGAATATGCTTTCATCATGCAAAGCATGCATGATCGCCTGGAATTCAATATCTCTTGTATCGAAAGTCTTTTTGAGATACGATAGTTTGTCTGGCGAGTATTCTGATACCTGTATTAGCCCTTCCTTACCTTTTGAGAGGGGTAACCGGAGGCCTTCTTTGCCCGAGGAAACAGCCGACCAGGTATTCTAGTATGGTCTGGACAGAGGGCTAGGGATGTTGATCGAGCTTGAATTTCATAATGGTTTTAAAGAAGATAGAGGGGAAGGAAGAAGATTGAATAACGGGCTCTCCAGACTCCATAGTTGATGGATGGGATACTTGTTAATACCGTCATTTCACTTGTTGATAGATCTTGCAATCATCTTTGTCGTTAAATCTGATCTACATTCTGCAAATTATTTGTGTGGACATCTCAGCGATCAACGCCTTTGCGATTATTGTATCCATGTCCAATAATGTTAGCTACTAAATTAAATGTATATAAATCTTGGATAAGTGGATTCTTATATAAAACCTCGGGCAAATATGGTTAAAAATGAAAAAAATCAAGCTACTGAATGTTCAAATATTTATCTACCAACCGTATAATAATCATTCTAAAAACAATAACAATATAGCGTGAACTCATATTATAGATATCAACATAAGTTGTAAGCAACAAAAATACAGAGCATATTCTACTCAACCCCAGAAGGGCGCTAATTCTATGTAAAATGGTTTGTGTGACGACATTTTGGGTTTTACCCCTAGGTCTAGAACACATAATTAATGTCAGAAGCAACTGACTTTAAATGTTACGAAACGCCACAAATCATTATTCGTCGTCCTTGTCTCGTGTCTTTACCAGGTTCTTATAATTTCCCGTCGTTTTCCCGAACCCCTTTCATTAGAAAGGTGAATGTTCCAATCCTTCTGTATTTCTTATCGAAAATGTGTTAAAACCTCTTCTAATACGGCTCATTACCAATCATGCCTTACCAAGGTTATGAGGTGCTACCCTTTCACCCGTTTTAACCCTCCCACATGAAGTTGTCTAAAGATGTCTTCCCACATGTTTATGTTCTCATTATCTCAGCGAAGAGACTTTCGGGAGCAGGTGGGTTTTGGTGAAGGTTTCACAGGTTGCGGAAAGCTCATGTTGTATAAATAGTTATGGGTTTGGATGAGGTGGTAAACATACCGCAACATTATTTGTGTGGACATCTCAGCGATCAACGCCTTTGCGATTAATGTATCTATATCCAATAATGTTAGCTACTAAATTAAATGAGGTGCTCCTCGGAATACACAGTGCCTATCTGAAAGTGATATGACGGTCAGAACTCCAACACTGCCATTTAACTTCATGATCTTAACTTTCTCTGTTACACCTACGTCTTGAAAATTTAATTTTTTTTTGTACATAATAGATATATGCAAATGCAACGGAAGGCTTCGTTTCAAAGGATATGATATACCATGTATGATATTGCATGGAAAGTCGTTCAAAATGACAAGCAATAGCCGCATTCATAATGAATATTGAAAATACAACATTTAATTTACATTGTCATGTGCATTGGCGACAGAAATCAAAGGAGCTACAAGATGCTGTTCAAATTTTCTCCCTATTAATTAATGAAGAAAAATCATAGAGTTTTAAATTTGTTTTGAAAATGTTTATGTACACTGTATTTACTTTGTTGACCCCTTTGTTCACTGCATTATAAAACCTCGAATTGCGAGACTCCGGTCGCTATATTATTGATTCGAACAAAAACAACAAAAGCAAATAGTTTATACAATTTGCTTTTAATATCATTTAGTATGAATATACCTTTAATGATTATAATAACGACGAAAATATGTACCATGACTGTGTCTGAAGTAATCATTCGAGACGAGAAAAATAAAAAGGCTACAATAATAGTCTAATCAAGTACAGCTCAGCGGTCGTCCTAATGAACTTATAAACGGTGAACCTAAAGGACGGGAAAATGAGTAACGTCAGTGTGTGCCGTGGAAAAAGAATAACCTTTTTCTTGCCTGGGTAAAGACAACTCTCTGCCAGTACAGTCAAACAGTTGTCAATTTTAACACAGCGACTCCGTACGTGACTTATTACGCGTTAATGGTCTCTCCATTGCGGCAAGGATAGAAACTTCGTGTGGGCGGAGACTTATTCCGTGAACTGAACTGCGCGCTGTGATTGGTTGACTCTTCACCGCTGTGGTGCTACTTTGGTGCAATCACACTTCCCGAGTGCCTGTAACAGCTGGAAAGTGTAGTTGAAGTATTCGGCACATTTCAAACCGAGCTTCGGTCGTCTGCTCCTGAAGAAGCACACTCGTGTTCTCCCATGCGTAGATATCTGCGTTGGATTACTTGCTATGCTGCCTTAAACTTGGATTACTACAATCGCAGAGAGGTGACGAGATAGTTCTAAGCCCTCATTATTTTGAGTCTGAATGCATTCCCAATGTACGACGCAATGGAGTAACACACGTTTGCAAATTTCAACTGCATAGCACGACAACCTACAGGGATACATTTGAAGAGTTGCCGTTGAATTCTTTAAAGTGTTGGAGATTTGTGTCTTCCATTTAAGTTATCAATCAGTGATAGATGGACAATGATGAAGATGAGACTGGGACATATTTTGAAAGGTGTGACTGTTCGCCTGCTGCTCAGCGCCCATGCGGCGTTGTGCGTGTGGCGGGTGGTTGCAGCAACAGGCGACTGGCGATATTGGGGATTGTTACTTGCTCAGTTGCTTGTGTTGCTGGAAGCTTTCATCACATTGAGTATGAAACGAGGGACAGAGTGGAAATGGTAAGTTGCATGGTTTCGTTAAATCTTTTCTTAATGGTAGATGAGATGGACTTACTTTTTTTGCTTTTATTGTGTTTGTTTTAATCTTTGTAATAAAGGTGTTCTCTTTCTCTTTCTCACTCTGCTTCTGCCCATCTCTCTCTCTTTCCAGTTGTATCTCTCTCTTTTATTTCCATTTTCCTTACCATTCTTTTCCCCTCTCACTGTCTTCTGCCAGATCAATTGCTCTGATTCTCTCATTTTCTTTGACCCAGATTGGAACCCGATTTTTAAGCACTTCTACACTTCTCTATATAAACACGCATAATATATACGAAATCTATCTAACTTTTGATCATGAAACATCTTGTCATTGTTTTTGCATCTAATACATTGAGTTTGTATGTAATTTGTGTGTTTGAAGCTGAATGAAACCGAACTATTCAGGCTAAAATGAATCTGTTGTAATCCCTTGCTACTCACTCTACAAAAAGCAATTGCTCTTTCTGTTTTATATTGATATATAGAAATTGTTTTATCATGACGTTGTTTATCTAAATGTCCAAAATGATTATGCAAGTTTATACCTTCAACAAACCGTCTGTAACACAGAATGCATCGGTTCATTATCCATTCACAGTGCTCTTCGCCTACTACTTCTAATACTTTAGTACATGTATGTTCGGTCGATTTATCAATTGCCTAATTCCGTAGTTCAACGTCTAAATGAATATGATCGTGTCTGTAATATTTTACTCCTTTGGTCAGAATTGAAACCCCAGGTCCAGGCACGACATCCTTTGGCTAGTCATTAATCTTAAATTTTGCAACTCTGTACCCAAGGGAAGAAAACAATGGAACTGGAAGTCACTATGATTTGCCACATGCCATCACGATGATCCTTCACATACAGGGGAAACGACTTACAATATTGTATAATAGCATGAATCCACTTACTGGGGGTCCTATTTTATTTAGTGAACAATAATTAATGATACAACAACAATTTGATATTGCTTATTTGCGGAAACTGCATTTGACTTCAAAACCGAGAAAGTTCATTAATGATTTTCGACAAGGAGATTCTTTGATATTGAACAAAAAAACTTATTTGTATACTGGGATCGCATTATTAACAACAAAATGTTTATTAACAGAATCACATAATCATATTGATTGAATATTCGCTTTCAAAAACTGTAAACTCGAGGAAGAGGGTTGTGACAAATCTCATCATAGATCAATATCAATAAAGTTTCATCTCAAAACTATTATCATTTGATTAGTGTTTCAGTTTCGCTCGCCTGCCGATTGATGAGGGGTGTTGTGATCGGCCTGTCAAACTTAGTGAACTTTGAGTCAAACTATCCAGGGTGGGTGCTCTGGAGGTGGATGTATGGAAGGGGACTTACATCCCTGTCACGAACCATAATGCCTCAATTTCACCAAGGCGTCCCTGGTGTATGCCATTATGACGGCTTCATAGCACTTGATGAGAGATGGGGATACACACCTCAAAATCTCGTCATTGTTCATCGACGATGACTCACATGTAAAACATAAGATTCTGATTAAAGTCTTCGAGATTAAAGAAGTAGATTTTCATGAGAGAACAGACGCAGAGGTGTCAAGTCCCCTGCAAGAAACAATGATGAATCAGGACCTCGAAGTATCGCGATGTAAAGTGTAATTGATGAGTGTATCATGTGTCTTTGAGCAGGCTATCAGAATCATGCAGAAAGTAATGTTAATATCATAGTTGCGGGTTAATTTTACCTTCAAAATTGTTTATGTTTTGTAAAAGACTTTTATGACATAAGACATAATGAGGTGCGCTCCTGCCATTTCTTCATTCTGTTTAACCACAGCAGATTTTCACAAAGTGAATTATACTTTATAAATACCAAGTAATGTCAACTTATTTTGTGGCCAGATACTGTGGTCTACTGATTGCATATAAGTATCATATATTGACCAAACATTTCTTTCACTTTGCGTTTGTTTTGTCCGGAAACAGACAGAGAGAGGGGTGTTAATTTGATGAAAGAAGGAACAGACAGAACTCCTGAACTTCGACTATTGAGATGTAGAATCACGTTACAACAGTAACACGAGGTTGTTGTTATTGGGGCCCAGACACGCCTCCCATATCGTCGTCGATCTTGGCTTTGGTCATATTAAGTATGATTCAGAAAAGTACAGGCGAATTCCATTAAATTCTTCTTCGAGTCCCACTCTGTTTGCGACCTGGGATTGGGGCACGTAGGAGAGATAGACATGGGCTGGTGATGGAAGAATTGATGTATGAAATATATGATGTTTAAAAATCATAGTGTCCTGAATATCATAGTTGTTGTTCCTGTTGATAGAGAAAAGAAAAGACACCTGGAATTTGCTAAGACGATGTAAATTAGTCATGTAGTACAGGAGTACAGTACTTTATGCTCCTGTTGGAGTTCGACCGTCATTTTGAAAATCCATACTATATCAAGTAGATAATTTACCAAACAGTAAAAGCAATGACTTAGAAGCTGATGTCTCCTTGGAAAAATATTCCCCTTGAAAATGTCTAAATGATTGTCTTGTAGCATGAAGCACCAATTGTTACTATAAATCCCCAAGTTCTGCTATAGATTTCTATATTGTCTATTATGTCTATATTTTCATGATTCGGATGATTCGTCACCAGTAGGTTAAAGAACAGGGCGGTAAAAAGAAGAAAAAAGTACAGACTTACAGCAAAAAGGGTTTATGTGGTATAGGGTAACCTGAAACTAATTTCATTCATCATCACCTATGAATCAATGAAGACAGAACGGCGGCATTCGATAGGGAGGAGTTCTCCTCGCCTGTTGTACTTTAAGGGGACTCAAGAGGTGGAAGGTGTGAAACTTCTTGGAGGCTGATAAAGATGTCATCCGATAAGAATCTAAGGGAAGAGGTGCGAAAGTGAAACTAAGAAACCTTTACTTGAGGGAAAATGTATCATCCAAGTGTCGGTGTAAAAGAGGTGTTAACAATGCTTTTAGGAGTAATAAAACTGTAGATTATGGTCATCGAAAGTAAACGCTTTTAATAACGGTACATTATTCATTACTCTTGAGGGTGATATTTGAAGTAAGTGCGTCAATTCGTTTTATTCTAATGTTTCTAATGATTTGTATAATGTGATTCATTGCGACGACATTATTTTTTATAATTTTAAGAGAAATCTAAGGATGATTCGGGAAACAATTTATAAAACACATCAACATGAATAAGTACAAGGTAAAGAGTTGGGTCAATCGGTCACAACTACATTTCTTTTTTTTAAAAGACAACTTTGATTTACTTGAATTGAAGCAGAAAAAGACCTTACAAAAAATGCAATTACTTTTACCGGTATGCATGTTAAGAAGAATACACAATAATGTCATGACGCACAACTACCATAGTTTATAATGATATTATTAATACATCATGACACGAGAAACAAACATTATTTCTAACGATTAACCACAGTTTAAGCCTCCTGTCATGCTGTATGTGTAACTAGTCACTATTAATGTGTCAGTAGACTAATCCATCGAAACTCGTCTATCATAATGTATCCGTCTGATCTAAGTGTATAGGAGCACAATGAATCACATTTTCCGTAAACAGTATAATAAACGAGTCGTAAAACCTTTTTATTTTCATCCAAGTGATTTGACACACACTGAGCTGACTGTAATTGCAACAGACCTTTTGACGCTACGAGTTTCCATCAAAATGTATTATGACAATTACAACAACAACAAATATCAAAAATTGGATGTATTTGAACATTTACAATTTCAAATGTATGTAGATTTCTTTCGTAGATTTTTTTTCTGGAACCTTTGATTAAGAAAAATTATTAAGAAAACTCATTTACACTTCAACTAAAAAGCCACGCAGGAGGCTTTTCCTTGAGCGCCATATTATAACCACAATTTTCATATACCTCAACATTGCAATCTGAACAGAATAATCATGTGTCCGATTCATGAACTGTATGAACTCCTGTTTTTAATCTTCTGATTTCAGACTACTCATAAAGCCGAAAGCTAACGGTGATAGCAAGAAGCTCCACCCTGATGCTCTTATTAAATCCCTCCGATCTATTTAAATCCATTCAATCTGTCAAAGTGACATTCAAATTAAGAAGTCGGAGAAGGGATGGGTTTCATATTCGGTACTTTTGTATTGATATGGTTAAATATTTACACAACTTAAGTTCACTATAAATATCCAAGGAATATAACTCTCATTGTACCGGGAAAATATTTTATCAAGCAATACATCTATTTTTAATTTGAGTTAGCCGAACACTTAATACATGTGATAAGAGGCAAATGTGATTTTGTTTTCTCCTCGGGGCATGAAGTTATCAAGAGACATGTAGAATACTGCTTTATTTGAATCATAGACAAGTAGGGTCCATGCTTGGATTGACAGAATATTTTGATATTTTGAAAAGCAATGTCCTGAATAATTGACAAGATAAATCAAATCGTTAATCTGAGATTTTCTAAAAATGGACTGACATTGAAATTAAATTTATAAATGACATTATAGTAATTATTATCTTAGGAAGATTTTGACCGTCGCCTAGTCTGACATTCTGAAGTAAATTTTCTTGATCATTTATTTTTGTCATCATTTTATACATGGTGGTTCTAAAGCCTCGTGTCTCGATCTTAAATCTCTCATGGCATGCTAGACTCAGATATGGTTGATGGGATTATGATGCTCTGCTCTGATCATTGCCTTAACCCCTATCGTCCCATTCAGATCTCAAATGTAGGGCATTACAAGTCGGAAGAAGTTCTTCAACTTGTTTATGGGTTAAACCCGAGAGGTACGGAATGCAATGGAGAAATCTGACGCTAATTCTTGAGTGAGGCTCTTGAAGAAAGTCCTGATTGACAATCAAGAACCAGCAGATATATCGATGTGATAGACGTACAGGAAATAAGGAAAAATAGCTGTCAGAAAATATGATTAAGATGAGTTTTCGA